GGCTGCTCTCTGCCAGTCTCTGGGAATCCAGAGGACAATCAGTACAAGGGCACAGCTACCCTTTGTGTGGCCTTGACTTTGAGCCCAGCCCTTTCCCTGCTGGCTTCCATGACTCCCCCCAACAAACTTATAGGGTAGGAACAATTATCTCCATCAGGTATAGAGGGGTAGGTAACTTGTCCTAGGTCACACAGTTGGTGGAGGCAAAAGTTCCAAAGACAGGTTTTTATGTCTAATGCTATATACTCAGGATACCTGCATATGGGGTATGGGGCGAGGGCCTGTCCCATCCACCGGACGCATGGGCATACAAGTCACCTGCTTTCATTAAACTCTCTGGGCCCTAGGTCCTACCTGTGGCCTTGAAGCATTGAGGCTAGGTGTATGGTAGAAGGATGCCTCTGAGAAAGGCTGAGACCTCTGGAAGCTGCTGGCCTGCCAAGTCTCTAGCTGACAGAGCATCCTGGACTGGGGCCAAACCCAGGCACTGAGTGAAGGGGCCCAGTTCCATGTCACACTGCTGGCAGGGCTGTAACCCAATCTTTTTTCTTTTTTCTTATTTCTTTTATACAGCAGGTTCTTATTAGTTATCTATTTTATACATATTTGTATATATATGTCAATCCCAATCTCCCAATTCACCCCCTGACCCCCGCCGCTTGGTGTCCATACGTTTGTTCTCTACATCTGTGTTTCTGCTTTGTAACCCAATCTTGAGCAGGTAGGATTTCAGTCCATTGATCTCTCTGCGCTCACATTAATATTTTAAGGCTCAGAGCTGAAGTTGGGGTGCTGGGTCTTGAGTGTAGCCTGGGAGGGGGTGGTGAGCACAGCTGTCCTTACTGAAATAGCGGGCAATATTTTTTGTCCACAAAAACATCAAAGATCACTGATCACAGATCACAGTGGCAAATATAATAATAAAAGTTTGAAATATTGCCAAAATTACCAAAACGTGACACAGACATGAAGCGAACAAATGCTGCTGGAAAAATGCTACCAATAGACTTGCTCCATGCAGGGTTGCCACAGACCTTCGACTTGGAAAAAATGTATTTGTTAGGAGCAATAAAACAAGCTATGCCTGCATTTCTTCATTTTTGAAAGTGCTATAGGAGCCTCGAAGAATGGAAAAGTCCCAGCTGTCCACAGACACAGGGCTGCCCTTCTCCGGCCCTCTAGGGAACTCCCGCTGTGCCAAGTGCCTTGGACTTTCTGGGTCAAAGGTGTTTTTGGTGCAGAAGGATGGGGTTCTCCTACATTCAGAGAGCAGAGTCCTGGGTCCTGTCCTTACTAGCTGCCTGTCTTGGACAAATGGTTTTACCTCCTGGTAAACCATTCTCACCTGAGAGACCAAGTGCTAATTACACTCACCACACTGCTGGCAGTGAAAGTTCAAAGATGCTGGATACAAGTAAGGGGCTTGCACAGGGCCCGCTCCTATCAAGTGCTTGACAGGTGGCCCCTCTCTTTTGAGAGGAGGTAGACTCACAAAGCCTTTCCTAGGAACAGGCCTTGCAGCTGGAGCTGGTGGCAGGGCTGGGGCCCCTGAGTGGATCCCTTTGTTCCTTGGCGGGGGGGCCCTGGTCTGCCCAGTGGCCCTGGTGACTCCTCTGCCAGGTTCCTCAGGCCAGACCAGAGGAACCAGTCTGCAGGAATGTCAGAGACTGGACAAGGACCTCCTAATCTCCTGCCTCTAATCTGTCCAAGGCACATCACCCACACCGTGTGTCTGCTCTCAGAATTCAGCATCAAGGAGCTTTTGGAAAATTTTTTCCAATGTCCTAGAAGAAAAGATTTTACACTTGGAACACACTCTCTCCAGCACCAGTGGCTGCCATAGCAAATTTCTCTCCAAGCTTCGTCCACCTGTGTACAAATGATCACATTTTGGTCATCAGAATGTACATTCCAGTTTGCATTCTTTTCTCATACGACATTGTCTTCCGAGGCCGAGTTGCTACAAGTGTGTGCATTATTCATCGCCGAATGCCAGCTGCTGGCCGAGAAGCCACGCCATGCAGCACGCTGCACGTAACAATACAGGGCGGGGGGTTCCTGCTCACCGCACACTTCCTGTACATCCTCTCGCTCTCCCTCACAACCCTGTGCCCTGCGGATTATAACCCCCATGTTACAGCTGAGGAAACTGAGGCTCAACCCAAAGTCATACAGTTAGGAGGTGCTGAGCCAGGACTTCATTTGTTCAGCAAATACTTCTGAGGGCCTACAAACCACAGGGCCTGCTGGGCACTGTGACGGAGAACAAGACACTTAGGTCCCGGCTCTCCTGGCGGTTCCAGTCCGGTGGGGACACAGACAATACACAATAGAGCAACTAACAAGGGTGAGGGGAGAGGGAGAGGGTGGTGTGGGGTGGGCAGTATTGCTAGTCCAGATTGGAGCAGGGGCCAGGCATAGCTGGTTTCCTCACTGCCCAGTACTGCCAAGTCCTCTGGCTGGCACACTGAAGGCACTCGAGAAATGTGTGGAAAATGAACCCTGCTTACCAACTTCACTGCTGTCTGATACACCAACATCCTTTATAGCCCAGTCCAGGGCACTAGACAAACATTTAGGCTATTTCCACCTTTCTTCAGTGAGAGAGGACACGGTGATGGCCAGTCTTATGCACAGGGCTTTTTGCTGTCGATGACTTCTTTTCTTGGGAGGAAGCCTTGAGAATGGGGTTGCTACCTCAAGGGTCATGGGCATATTTACCCTTCTGGATTTCTCCTTCGGGTGGTGATATGCCTGGCACTTTTCCTGAGCACCTACCGTGTGCTGTATACATCATCACAGATGACTCTGGAAAGTTGATATTATTATGCCCCTTGCAGAGGTAAGCAGCCTGAGGCTCCTGACTGCCTGGTAGAGATGCCTTCTCAACTAGCTCAAACACCCCTAATGTATTTTAGCATTACTATACGCCAAGCTCCTCAGTCTCTGCTTCGGAGGTGTTGCATGGAATTGATCACACCGGTGCTAAGGGTGGGCCCTGACTGGCCAGGCCAAGGATGGGCCATTGAGAGCTAAGTCCAGGACTTTAGTTTGACTGTAGGGGAGGGAAGTTTTGTGCATATAGACATGGTGCTCTTCACACAAAGGAGCCAGGACACCTGCCTGGCTCCTCACCTTAGCCAAGGGGCCTCACCTGAGCTGTTCAGCCTCCGCAGGACTCAGTCTTCATATCCATTAAATGGAAGCAGTAACAGATATAACTTTCCAACACTTTTAATGAGGTAATTTTTTATTCCCACAGGGAACTGCGATCCCATAAAGGGGTCTGTGGGTTCTAGTAGCCTAAACCAGGCTTGAAATGACAGAGGCTCAACCCCTACTTCCTGTGCCCCTTCCTCCTGGCCAGGTTTCTGGCGTTCCTCTGGGATTACCAGCCTGCTGTCACGGGACAGTGGGATAAAGGCCTGTCACCTGGGCAGACCACAGACACAGCCCCACCATCTGAGGGCTGGTATTTTTAGACAAAGTCCTTGGCTCCCTTATCTAAATGGCCTGACTGGAGACCTTGATTTCTCAGCTTTTCCAACATCCAATGGGACTCCTACTCTGCCCCCTCCTCAATGCTGGATGGCTCCCAGCTCCCACCAGTTCAATGTCCAGGCCCACCTCCACAGCTGCCTTGACAAAAGCCCCCTTTCATCATAATCCTTTTGTTCAATGAGCGCATTTTTCTTGGAGCAAGTTCAGCCAAGTGCACACTGCTAAAGAGAGATGTTTTCTTCCCGAAGACTGTGAAATCCCCACATAGAAGCCATTTCCTGCATACCAGGCGCTGAATTTCCTAAGCAGCCAGGGAACCCTCTTGTCCCAGCTCATGCCCAGTAAAAACAGGATCTGTAATTTAAAAATTTATCCATACTCCAATTGCTTTCGGAAAGGATTGGGGCGGCGGGGTGAGAGGAGTGAGGGACATGGGGCAGTTAATGGGGTAAATGCGAGCAGGGGCCCTTGCCTCCCCTCCGTGGGCAAAGGTGCGTTAGTCACAGTCACGGGGCTGCCTCCAGCGTGGGGGCGGGCGGGGCGGCACCCACAAAGCCAGCAGCCCCGTGGCACTCACCTTTGGCCAGTACTCAGGGTGGCTGCGGGGATGCCGCTCCGCCCGCCCCGAGCCTCTAGGCCCTGGCATCCTCAGCACCACGGACAGGGAAACTGAGGCTGCAGGAGGCCTCAGAGGGCTCCGCGGCCAGCTGTGCGGCCGTGAACCAGTCGTTTCTTCCCCCTTTCGGGCCTCGGTTTGTGACCCGGGGACAATAATTTCTCTCCAGCTTGGACGGGGCGTGGCCGCGCCTCTCAGGCAGCTGAGCCGGCGCTGGGAAGTGTTCTAAAAACACACGTACGGAGCTGCAGAAGGAGGTGCCTCGCCCCAAGGTCATGCGGAAAGAGAAGCCAGCCTCCAGAGACCGGCTTCCTAACTGCCCGCTGCCAGGCCCCGGCCTCAGATGTCCTGCAGGACTCGAGGGGTCAAGCAGTTTCATCCACCAAAGCCAAGTTCTGGCTCCCCCGAGGTTCAAGGGCCGCGCAGCCCCCGCCCCCACTCGGGGTGCCCCCCCCCGCCTCGCTAGCTTTATCCATCCTCGCGACCCCCGAAACGGCTCGACGCTCCGCCCCCTAGAGGCCCCGCCTCCCGAGAACGCAGGAAACGAGACGGCGGGGAGAGGCCGTGTGCTGCCGCAGCCAATTGGGAGGCGGCGTGGCGAGGGCGGAGGCGGTTGTGATGCGCCAGGCCGACGGACGACGGCCAATCAGCGGCGAGCGCGAGGGCGGGCTATGACGCGGACGGCGCTCCTCGTGCGGCGGCAGTACAGGAGCGAGCGCCACGGCCAGCAGAATCAGCCGAGCGCCGCCGCCGCCCGCCTCTTACCGCCTCCACGCCGCCGCCGCCCCGCGCCCGCGCGCCGCACTCCCAACCGCCGCCGCCGCCGGCCTTCCCGTCAGCGAGCGGGCGAGCGGCCTCCGCGCCCGGTCTCCGTGAGGGGGGCGTCCCGCCGGATCCTGAGCCTCACGCTCTCGCGTTGCGGCCGACCGCGCCTCCTCGGCCGTCTGCCCGGCATGAAGACCAAGTTCTGCAACGGGAGCGAGGCGGAGCCCTCGCCGCTCGGGCTGCTGCTGAGCTGCGGCAGCGGCAGCGCGGCCCCGGCGCCCGGCGTGGGGCAGCAGCGCGACGCCGCCAGTGACCTCGAGCCCAAGCAGCTGGGCGGGCGGCAGCCGCAGCTCGCGCTGCCCCCGCCGCCGCCGCCGCTGCCGCTGCCCCCGCCGCCGCCGGCCGACGATCAGCCCGAGCCCAGGACGCGGCGCAGGGCCTATCTGTGGTGCAAGGAGTTCCTGTCTGGCGCCTGGCGGGGCCTTCGCGAGGACCAGTTCCACATCAGTGTCATCAGGTCGGTGTCGGCGGCGCGCCGGGGCGGGCGTGAGGGAGGGAGGGCTGCGCGGACGCGGTCGGGTGACGCTGGCCGGGGGCGGACTCTGAGGTCGGGGGCGGGGCCGGGGGCTCTGCGACCCGCGAAGCCACCTTTCAGGAGCCTTTGTGAAATCCAGGCCAAATCCCGTGAAACGGGCCCCCGAAGACCCTCCAGAAGGCAGGCTGTTGAAAACATGCCTCTTTCGTGGCAAAACAGGCCTCTTCTAAGGAGAACAGTACTGTTCAATCACAAAGTACATTTTGTCCAGAAGCTTAAACTGTGTCTAGCAAGTCTCTTTGGGTTTAGGGCCTTGAATGAAGGAGGGATGTTTTGGCTGGCTTAAAAAAATCACTTGGTGACTTACTTTTAGTTCTTCAAGTCCATGATTAGGTTTTTCCCACTGAAAGAGACATTTGTTAGCGGTGAAGGGGTGACGTTTGTTAGTTCCTCGCTAACCGCTCAGACATGTAGGTGTGTGACCAGCCAAAGTTAGGATGTGTGGCTCAAAAAATAACTAAGAGTAAGGTAGAAAGAATTTCCCCCCCTTTTTTAAGCTTAAAAAGACTAATCATAAGTTTAAATTACCAAAAAAGTAAGCGTGTATGTATTCAGACTTAACAGCAAAACGTAAACTTGGTTTTTGTCCACCCTGCTCCCGTGAGATGATCACTTAACATTTAGTGGGCTTACTTCTATTGAGACCTTTTAAAAGGTGTTTTCTTGGGCTTCCCTGGTGGCGCAGTGGTTGAGAGTCCGCCTGCCGATGCAGGGGACGCGGGTTCGTGCCCCGGTCCGGGAAGATCCCACGTGCCGCGGAGCAGCTGGGCCCGTGAGCCATGGCCGCTGAGCCTGCGCGTCCGGAGCTTGTGCTTCGCAACGGGAGAGGCCACAGCAGTGAGAGGCCCGCGTACCGCAAAAAAAAAAAGTTTTCTTTTTCTGCTAATTTTCTTGTAACTGGTTGACCAGGTTGAGTGCAGTATCTAGAAACTGGCCGGCTGGCTGGCTGCCACCGATAAGCCCCAAATCCAGTTTGAGTCATTTGATTCCTTTTCTCTGCCCAGTGCTTCTTCAGAGCCGCAAATGCAGCAAAATTAACTGAGCTTCACTTTCTTTTTGTGCCTGTGGCCTCTCTTACAGATACGCCTAGGAGCAGTGAGAATCATAAAGGTAGAAAGAGAAAAGAAAGCCAAAGAATTGCTTAATGAAACCTTTTTTTTTTCCTGAAATGAAACTGTCTCCCAAACTATCACATTTAGTTAGGCCTGAAAATTCTCAGTGAGATCATCCGAGGCCATGTGATCTTCAGGTCGTCCAGCTGTAAAATGGAAAATGTAGAGGGGCAGTGACTTGCCTGAGGTCAGTGGCTCTGTGCTGACATCACAGTGAGCTGCCAGGTCTCTTGAACCCACCTCCTACTCCAGTGCTCTTGCCTGTTGCCTATGAAAATGTTTCGGATACCCTGGATCCAGCTGTAAGATGTTTTTGAGGTGCTTTTCTGGGGAGTGTCACTCATTAGATAAACCTTTGTGTTTTTGCTCAAACCTGACATTCTAAAAGCTTTGAGGATGCCGATGAAAAAACTAATCAGTAGTCCGTCTAAGAAGGAAATGGGAAATCTTATTCAAGTCAGACTGAGGATTATATCCCAGAGACAGCCTCTCAGAGAGCTCTGAGAACTGTTCTGAAGAGGTAAAGGGGGAGGCCCAAATATATGTGATTGTTGCACAGGGGGTGCGTGCAGTCGAGCTCACATCTTAGCAGAAGGTGGCTGCTAGTCATGAGGAATGACTTCTTAGTTAATGCTCTTAGTGCCTTTCTAAGTGTGTGAAGGTGCAAGAATAAAACATTTCTACAGAAAACATAATATCTCTCTGAGGGTCTGTTCTGTCATTTTTCTGAGGGCACAGAGTACTGATCTTTGCCCTGACTTCCTTTCAGGGTGTATTGTAAGTCAGCGACTACAGTGGCTAATGATTGATTCTTGTTGAACTGGATAGTGGGCAGGATTCTTTATTCTGCAGTCCCTTCCCTTTCGGTTGTAATTTCAACCAAGGTTTGAGAGGCATTTCGTGACCAATCTGTCCCACTGCGTTAAGAATGCTTCTTCCCAGGTCAGGTGAAGATTTGCTGATAGGCCACTCAGTATGCTGTTAGTGGACTAGGCCCTGTTAACAGTAGCAAAAAGCCTCTGGACCACTTACCTTAGTAGTCTCTTATGCTCCAGGAAAAGTTTCCTTCTTTTTTTTAAAAAAAAATTTTTTTTTAATTATTTATTTTTGGCTGTGTTGGGTCTTTATTGCTGTGCGCAGGCTTTCTCTAGTTGTGGCAAGCAGGGGTTACTCTTCGTTGCGGTTCGCGGGCTTCTCATTGCGGTGGCTTCTCTTATTGCGGAGCACGGGCTCTAGGCACGCAGGCTTCGGTAGTTGTAGCACACGAACTCAGTTGTTGTGGCTCGTGGGCTCTAGAGCGCAGGCTCAGTAGTTGTGGCGCACGGGCTTACTTGCTCCGCGGCATATGGGACCTTCCCAGACCAGGGCTCGAACCTGTGTGCTCTGCATTGGCGGGTGGCTTCTTAACCACTGCACCACCAGGGAAGCTCCAAAGGTTCCTTCTTGTTGCTTCTTCCCATATCTAGAGCTGTACTATTATAATCATTGGTCTTATACAACTATAAGTTTGGTCAATCATTTCAAGTTGGCTAATCATCATTAATTTTATTGGAGGCTTAGTCACACGCTTGGTAATGCGAGAAACAGTAATTTGTAAAATAGGCAGATACTGGTAATATAGCTAGTGACATTAATAAGATCATAAGTAAGTATTTAAGCTAAGAACTTCCATTAGGTTTGGCCCAGTATCGCCCCAGGTCATCTGACCAGTCTGTTCTGGGCCAGTTGCTGTCTTTAAGGGAAATAATATACTGGCATTGTATGTGAAGTTCACCAAAGATGTCTTCAAGTGCAAGGTGAGTGAGTGGTGGGTCATTGTGACCCCTAACAGGATTGGGAAAGGAGTTACATGGTTGGCTCCAGAAGAAGAAAAATTGATCTTTATGGTTGAGCAGGTATTTCTGTCATTGGGGAGGTCTGGTTAACGCATAATGCAGATGCGCGATGCACGCCAGTGGGGAGGGAGGAGGCCAAATGGGCAGAGAAAAATTTTATGTTTAAATTTTTCTTGTCTTGCCTTAAAATATGAATTTTTATTTCATCAAGGATGTTTTGTTTGTTTTCTCCAGGAATCAGTGGTCTTGGAAGACACAGCTTTCCTTTTGGTTTGGTGGACCTTTTAAAATAATGTTGTATGGTGTGATACACTGCCTCAGTCCTGTTTTCTGGAATAGAATGTAGTTATGGAATGAGTTTAACAAGGAGAAAAGAGGTGATTTAGGATATGGGAAAGTGGGTGATGCCTAGCTTTAAAAAAAAGGCAAAAGCGGTAGTTCAAGTGGGGAAAGATATACACTTGGTTGAAATTCAGTGGCCCTCCATAGCCAGTCCATGTACAGGTTCTGGCTGTCACGTGTTCCTGATCCGTCTCTCCAGCCCCGGCTCTTCGCTGAGTGCCCGCCTCAGCGCAGCCCATCCAGTCCGTTCCACACTTGACCCTTCTGCCCCTCCCCACCCTGGAATATATGCTTCTCCTGCTTCTTTTCTTTGAGTTATTAACAGCAGCTGGCTGGTGCCTCAGGATTATTTCTCACCCTTTGCATTGGCTCAGAAAGCCCTCCTCAGCACTCGGTGGCAACTAAACCCTAGTGAACTGCTCTTGTGCCCACACCTCCGGTCTGCTCCAGGCCCACTGTCCTTGCTTAGACCATGTAACAGGAGGCACCTGTGGATATCCTTGTGCTTTGGGTTACCCCCACCACTCCATTCTATATCCCATTGCCAGGGATTTCTCAAATATCCTGACTCCTTTGTTTAAAAGTTTACTGTGGCGTCCTGTAGCTGGAGAATAAAATCCAAACTTGTTTGCATGGTTTATACTTGGGCCCCAGCCTTAATTTTTCAGGGTGGTTCTTTTTTTGTTGCTGTTTTAAAATCATTCCTTTCCCCTAACCAGCAGCAACTAACAGTGAGCTAGTTACACTTGTCCTTGCACTTCTTGAATGAGCTTTGTGTTTTCAGTCTCCAGACCTTTCTTTGCTCCTACGCTCTGCTTGGCAGCCTGGTGTCTGCCTTTTTTTTTTAAAATAAATTTATTTATTTATTTAATTTTTGGCTGCATTGGGTCCTTGTTGCTGCACATGGGCTTTCTTTTAGTTTTGGTGATCGGGGGCTACTCTTCGTTGCGGTGTGTGGGCTTCTCATTGCGGTGGCTTCTCTTGCTGCGGAGCACCGGCTGTAGGTGCGCGGGCTTCAGTAGTTGTGGCCCGCAGGCTTAGTTGCTCCGCGGCATGTGGGATCTTCCTGGACCAGGGCTCCAACCTGTGTCCCCTACACCAGCAGGCGGATTCTTAACCACTGCGCCACCAGGGAAACCCCCTGGTGTCTGCTTTTAAAATACCTCCTTCAAGGCCTAACTTAGAGAGCCAGAGAGAATTAGTTTCTTCCTTGTTTAGGTTTCTTCCATAGCACTTCATGCATACACACCTTTATGTCACAGCACTTACCACATTGTGTGTGTTCATTCGTTAAGTCTGTTAGATTGAATTCCTAGAGGACATGTTGTGTTCATCTTTGTATCTCCAGTAGTAGAAGAGTGCCTGACTTTAGCACCTGGATTTTAGCTTAAATTGGCTTCTTTGCTGTCCTCCTAATGTGATGACAGGGCTCTTTGCAATCAGACTACTGGTTGCCTGAGTCCCTCCAGCTATGAGTGGTATAGGGAAA